GTCTGGCCTCCCCTTTCGGACCAAACTCCGTTTCTAGTTCTAGGCTATAGTCCCCCCCCCCCCCTTCGAGCACAAATAAACCTCATTCCGAGGTACGATTCTCCCACCGGCCGTTGACCATAAAACAGTAAAACTCAAATACTCGAGTCCCAGCTTTGCGTCTAGACCACCTCGGCTAATGGCCAAATGAGCTTACTCCATCAAAAGTTTCTAGGTCGAGGGAAAAAAAAAAAAAAAAAAAGGACTCAATACCTAGTTGAACAGCCCAGCGACGACGACGGTTTCAATGATTCCAATGCGCCATGCGTCAACCAAAAGTTCCTCACCAGCAAAGATCTCAGGAAGGGGAGGCCTAGGGGCCAGCCACAATGTCTAACATTGAACCAATCAAGAGCCGTGAACCGGGCTCAGCTCAGCTGGAAATAGGAGAGAACCCGTAACCCGTAGGGCCGTAGGCGGAACCTCTTGAGCTTTCAAGGCCTTTGGGATTTCAGCCGCACCGGGCCTGGTACCCGAGCATAGCAAAGATGCTCTTTTCCTTTCCTTGTTTTCCTGCTCTCTGTTCATACTTCTGCTCCTGTTTGTTTATGCCATTGCCTGTGTAAAGAGCCGATTGCGGACGAAACAAATCGTCATCATCATCATCCTCCTCCTCCTCCTCCTCGCGGGCGCCCAACTTTACCCCCCCTTTTAGCCACCCCTTTCTCCGAGGAGATGAGAGTAAGTGAGCTGTTGAGGGAATGACAAAAAGAGGCAAAAGTTCCCCCGGAGAATGGAGCGAGACCTCGGATAGGGCCTAGAGTCTAGAGCCTAGAGGCTAGAGCTGAATCGAGAAATGATGTCGTTGAATGTCTCAGCATCAGGGACAGAGAGCGGACTGTCAAGGTCCGCACCATCCTTCATATAAGTTAAACCCCCATGCCCAAAACCCCCCATACCCTGCCTGGTGTGAGTTGTCCACTGGGCCGTAGCCACTAATGGGTGGCCACTATGTTTATATTTTTTTTATCTTATTTTTGTCCTTTTTGTTTCTTTCAGGCGGCAGCCTTGCGTTTAAGCACGGCAATTGTCAACCACCTCTTCCGAATCGTCACGTCCTCGATGCCGCGGTCCCAAGCCCACTCCCGCTCCTCGCCGTCACAGTCCCGCTCCCAAATCGTCTCGACCTCGAGCCCGGCATCCGCCAGCGCGGACTCCTCAAAGAAGCCGCGCATCTTGGGCCGACCCGTGTGAAACCCGGCCACGACCCAGCAGCGGGCCTCGGAGCCTTCTCGCATGAACCAGGCAATGGACTTTTGCAGGTTGGCGTGCTGCCACGGCATCCAGAGGCAATCTGCCACGAAGAGCCGGTCAAAGGCGTGCTTGTTGGCGAGGGAGAAGGCATCGTCGAGCTCGCCCCACGAATGTCCCTCGACCAGGACCTCGCGGGCCGTGAGGGCGCCCGTCGGGGAGACGGCGGGGACGATGTTGCGCGTGGCGTTGAGGCGGAGGGTCTTCATGACGGCCGGGGCGGGGTAGTCTGTCAGGACGGTGCGTTCCGCGCCGAGGAGGGCGGACATGATGCTCGGTAAGGCGGTGCCGGCGCCCAGCTCGAGGGTGGTCTTGCCGCGAACGTCAAAGTGCGACATGGGCGGGCCGAGGCGGACGGGCACGGCGGTGTCTATGCCCAAGGTGCCGGCCTCGACGAACTCGCCGAGCTGGAGGCTCGAGTTCCAGAGGTAGTGGCTGAAGAGCTTGCGGTCGTCTGCGGCGTCGGGCTCGGCGAGCTCAAAGGTTAGGGGACGGCGGAGGTGCGGGGAGGTGTACTCGATGCCGTTTACGGCGTCGCCGTGTTGGTTTGTGACATCGTCGGGGAAGATTACGCCGAGGGAGGACATGAGGTAGTCTTCGGGGGACTCGGCGGGCGGGCCGGTCAGGGAGATGCGGGATGTGAGCGCCATTGTTGACGGATTGGACGGAGAAAGAGCGCCGGGGGCCCGGGATGTCGAGGAAGGGGGAGGAGGAGGAGGGTGGGCGGTCGAGACGCCGGGGACCGAAGGACGACAAACACCGAAGCGAACGAGAGCGAGTACGACGACGAGGAAGAGTTCGACAAGGAGTTGTCGCGAGTAGAGTGCCGTCGAAGCGCAGTGGCGTTGAGGGTGGTGCGTAATGCAAAAAAAAGACTTGGGCAAATGGGGGAAAATTGTCGTCTTTTTTTTTCCGCCCTTGCGAAGGGTTGCGAGTGTTTCGTGTGTGCGTGTGCAAGGACAGGAGGAGGTCAAACGGCCATGGCGGGGTAGTCGAATTGCCCCGCCATCCACTACGGATACCTTACAACGTGCCTACGAATACACCTCCCAGTCACCACCGGCCAGCAGCGGCATCGTGCACAGCGCAGCGAGTCCGAATCAGCGAATGCCCCAATGCAAGAGAAAATAAAATTAAAAATTAAAAAAAAAAGAGACCGAGAACGGACACCGCCACGAAACAGGGAACACGTCAAATTCAAAAGATGGGACGAAAGAGATGTGGCGTCTGTCAATGCCGAAAAGATCTCGCGGTGGCACCGACGGGAGGAAGAAGGAGTTCAAGGGGGTGGGGGGCAGCACGCATACACAGTACGCACAGCCAACAGAGCCGCAAGGAACCGCGTTCGCGTCCGCCTCCGCGTCTGCGTCTGATGTCAGTGATGTGGGATGGGAAAAAAAGTGTTGAGCCTCACGATGCGCCACGGCATGAAAGACTGCAAGAGATGGGACGGGGAGGCGTAGAGGACGTGGACGCGCACCCACGGCACAGGGCACCGCTGCCCATTAAGAGTTGACATAACCTTCCTATGAGCCAGTTCTTAGGTGAGTTAGTAAGGTAAGTTGGTAAAGTGTACGCAGTAAATGTTGGTAATAGTTGGATGCATCGCAGGGTTGATCGCGAAGGTGGGAGCTTCTCTGGACAGAAACGTCAGGATCACCCAGGTCGTCATGTCAGTACACCTATACTGCGTACCTTACTGTGGTACACTATAGTAAGAGTAGGCGTGCAAAGGTAAGGTACTTTACTTCAAACCTCTTCTCTGGGATGCTCTGCAAGGTACGAACCTGGAGCCCTCGACTCCCTGGGACTGGGCAGAGGAGAACAATACCACGGCGCGGATGCTGCCGCGACATAGCCACACTGTCCACGATATTTTTTATTTTCTCTCCCCTCCAGGTTCCCGCCTGGGCTGTCCGTCGGTCGGTGCGTTGGGGGCCTCTCTCAGGGACCACATTGTCGGAGAAAATCGTCGTCAGCGGGTCCTTCTTGCAGTGGAGGGAACCTAAGCGTAGGGTGGCTGTGCAAACAAATCGCTGCAGAGAGTGCAGAGTGGTCCCCCCCCCCCCCCGTAGCCGAAGCTTAGCACTGCTAGGTACTCCGTACTCGCAGGAACCCGCATCCCGACAACAGTCTGCTCGCGCGCCCCGGCGGTGGACTGGTGGGTGGATGGTGACCTTCCGCTCCACCCCTCTGGGCTCCCTCTCCCTCTCCGTCATCACCACCACCACCATCACCGCCAGGGACGGTACCCAACCTTACTGTGGTACAGTATCCGTAGGTACACCAAAAAAGAAAAAAAAGATAGAGGTAGTGCAGTGCAGTGCAGTGGCTGTGCCGCCCTGTGCCGTCCACTCGCACCCGCATCCGCAAACCAGATCCCCTTTCCCTTTCCCTGCCCCAGATCCAAACCATCCACACTCTTTTCTTCCATTGAGTTTTCCAAAGTTACTGCGTACCTACCGCAGTACTTCGTACTCTCCCCCAATGTGCAAAATACTTGTAATTAGTATACAACCACACAACCACACATACACACACACCGACAATATACTGCGGCCACAACATGTGCATGCCACTTATGCATGGCTATTTTCATCCCCTCGGGTCATCAACCACAGCATAGGTAGGTATGATGCTTACTTACGTACCTTACCCTGACACGAACAAACGTAATCCGTACCTTACATTTTCATCCCATCGTCATCAACCATCCATCCATCCCCCCCGATCCCGAATCCCGTCAGCCTGCCCTCCCTCCCCCCCCCCTGGCCAGCCACAGGTACGGGTACGGGCTACCTAAACAGGCCGACCATCGGTCATCCTCATCGTCGGCTCCATCCTCATCCTCGCGGCAGAGCGCGGAAGTCGGGACCACCGACCAAGTCGCTAGCCCACCGTTCATCGTTTATTCTTGCTGCCTAAGAGTCCCCGGAGAGGGGGCGAGGGGGGGGGGGGGCCTCTCATGAAAAAAAGCGGCTAGACTAGCTGAGGTCGCACAACAAAAAACCAAGGCCCCAATCTAACATCGTGATAGCCTTGACAAGTCTGACACGCCTGATAGGGATTCTAGGCCCCCCCCCCCCTTCCCATCACCATCCCCGATCCGGTAACACCGCTGCTGGCCCTCGGCACGGTTATACCATCCCTCACTCCTCCTTGCTTGACACTATTGCTGCCGATCTCTCGCTGCCAATCACTGACCCTGTCGCGCTGTCAAAACCCGTCAGCCTGTTCCTGTTCCGTCATCCCTTGTTTCCGAACCGCAATCAGATCGGGATTCGTTATCCCATATCGCATCATTGCTATACCCGAGGCATCACGGTTGTAACTCCTGCATCACAAGTGAGAAGAATGAGAGTGAGAGTAGAAGTGAGAGTGACAAGTATCTCTTGTTTTATACCATCAAGCCTTGGGCCGTAATATAGTATAGGGTATCAATCAAATGCTCCTTTTTCTTCAGGTGCAAACAACATGGAACTTGTTCCGTCCAATCATCATGAACCTCATGTCCCTCCCGTCCTCGTAAGCCAGTCGTTGTAGTCCCGTACAAGTCTGCGCCAAACCATGCAACACCAAAATGTAGTGTAGAGATTTTTTTTTTGCCGCTCTTCAAATCGCTCCCGCCAAAAAAGAAGAAGAAAAGAAAAGATTGAAAAAAAAAGAGATAACTGTAGCATCTCAATGACTTTGTCCTCCGCTGCCTTCCATTACTGAGCCGTCTGGCAGCTCTCAAGCATCGCCTGCATCTCCCGCAGCTGCTCCTCGGTCGGATCGTCAGAGATCCAGGGTCCCTTCTCCTCATCCGTCGCACCAAGGAAGCCCTCGGCACGCTTCAGCGTCTGCACGTCCAGGTCCGTCACGTAGTTGTTGCCGTCCGTAAGCTTGATGCGCACCTCGTGATCTGTCGACAGCATCATGTCGTCCTTGGCCAGTCGCCGAGGTCCATCAAACACTGCCATCACCCGCTTCTTCATCGTCATCTGGCCCTTGTCGAAGCCCCAAGAAGAAGGGTAGTCGCGTCTGTTCTTGCGACCCTTGGCCTTGACAGGCATTGGGCCGCCTCCACGGGAGTGTGTGAGGCCGCGCGACTTTTGAACACCGTTGACCGGGTTGCCCTTCCTCTTGGGCGACGCGCTGACGCGCTGCTTGCTGTCTTCCTCATCATCATCCTCCATCATCTCCTCGTCGTCCTCCTCCTCGTTTGAGGGCATCTGCGTCTGCGTGGGCAAATGGTTCTTCTCCAACGTCTGGTGCACTTCCTTGTCGTTCTCAACCTCGGCCAGGCGCTGAGCATTGATGGCCTCAGAAGGGTCCTCCTGCTGCACAATACGCAGCACACAATCGTCCAAGTGCTCGTAAAAGTCCTGAGCGTTGGAGAAGGTCTGCGAACAAGTGGAACACTTGCCAGTGGCATCGGGAGGATATCCCGCGAGCTTCTTGCCGCTGTTGGCGCTGCTGCTCTTCTTGCGACTGTTGGGCGGTGTCTGCTCGACGCCGTGAACGGCTGTCAAGTGACGCTTGAAGACATCAGCGCGGTTGAACGACTTCTCAGCCGCTGAACCGGAGCCGGGGCAGAAACCGCACACCATGGTTCCCTTGTAGTGCGTCAGGGTGTGGCGGTTCTTGTCGTACTTGCGAGCGAATCCCTTGACGTGGTAGTCGCAAGTCACAATGGGACACTTTTCGGGCCTCTCAGTCTGGTGCGTGAGCATGTGCGCCTTGAGATCCTTAAAGACCTTGCCGCACTCGGGATGGGGGCATCTCTGCTTCTCCTTGCCCTCATCGCCGCTGTAGTTGTTGCCATCAGAGTAAGTTGAGGGGAATGAGTGAAGGCTGGGGCGGCGGGCGTCGCCGGGAGTAGCGTAGGGGCTGAATTGCTGCTGCTGTTGGAAGCCGCTGTGGAGGAAGGGCGATTGACTGCCGGTGCGAACCATGGACATTGACTGTGATGAGGGCGAGAGGGCGGGCGAGGTGGGATACTGGTTGGGGTTCTGGAAGTTGCTCATCATGGGGCGGCTGATGTCGGGGTGGATCAAAGAAGGGTCTGGAGCAGCGGAGAGGTGGTCAGCGGGCGTTTCGCGATAAGGATGAGGCTGCTTGACAGAGGAAAACCAACAAGAAGAACCAAGAGGAGCGATGAAATGGCCGCTGCTCTGAGAAAAGAAAGTAGAGACTCGAGGAGTCTTTGGCGAGTGGCCCCAGACGGGCGCCGGAGGAGAAGAGAAGGAAGTAGAGCTAGGAGAGACAAAGGACAAGCTTGACTTGCGCGATGCGGGCGTGACAGGGGATGAGGAGGACGAGTGAGTGTCCAGCACCGGGCCCGAGTCGCGCACACGCACAGCTGAAGCTATAGCTGTACTGGAAGAATGAGAGCCAATTGACTCGAGTGAAGCAGAAGGAAAAGAAGAAAGTGCGCGAGATGAGGGCGCAAGAGTGGTTCTAGAAGCGTTTGGCAACTCACCCACGAAACCCGGGGGCTTGGTGTTTGCAAATTCGAAAGCTGCAAAGTCTTCCATACCTGGGCCGGCGTAGGTCGAGTACTCTGTACCGGCGGTGTTGTAGTAGTCGTGGGGCACGATGCCCGGGGTCACAGCGATGCCGGGGTGCGCCCAGTCGAGGATTGGCGCCGGCTGGTCGTTGTGGGATTGGGGCGAGCCTACGTTGGAAGAGGCCGCCGATGGTGCTGATGCGGTAGAAAGGTTGGAAGAAGGCAGTTGGAATTCGGCGTCCTCGTAGAGACCAGGTGATGTGCGTCCTTGGTACATAAAGTTGTTATCGTAGAGGGCGGGCTGGTGATCCATTGCCATGGAGGTTGGGAACATGTAAGAGGCGTCGGCAGGGATGCTCATCTCCATGGGTGCTGTGCTGAAGACTCCCTGTGGTGGCTCAGGGTAAAGAATGTAGTCGTCGTGGTGCTGGGGGCTCAAGTGCCTAGGGAGCATAGTATATGACTGATCTATCGAAGCCATTTTGTAGGTAGATGTATGTGTGTGTGTGGGTGTATATGAGGATGTGGTGAAGAGAGAAGTGAAGGGTGATGATCTGTGGAAGGCCTCTCGGTCAAATCCGAGTTGTAGTGAAGTTCCAGAGTTGATGTTATATGGTTGGTTGGTTGGCTGTTTTGCTATTGCTGTCGCGCAGTCCGAAGCAAAGCCACACTGCTCGTTCAGTTGCCTTTTATTATGCCGTCACTGCTATTCTTCCCACTGCTGTCAGTCGTCTGTACTATTTGACCTGCTAAAAGCTGCTGCGCTGTGCTGCGCCTGCTTGGATGTGGGGCTGGTGAGCGCACCTGCAGCGATGTTCATGCCCGCGGCGTTTCCGCGTTGTGAGGTACCGGGCCGTTGGATGATTGGCGAATGCTTTCTCTCTCTCTTTCTACGAGCTTTACTTTGAGTGCGGTAGTATGCTCCGAGGATATGGTTCCTGAGTATTTGCCGCGTCAAGTAACCAAGTGTAGGAACAAGAGAGTTGTTGCTGGTGAGAGTGAAGCAAGAAGACGCTTTGGGTGGAGGATGTCTTTCTCGAAACGTGAGACAGACTACGAGGTGATGGACCGCCGTCTTGGTGTCGTGGATATCCAGAGATCTGGGTCTGATAGATGGATGTAGAGACTGATGGGGGCGAGAAACAAATCACCAAGAGCCTTGGGGGCTTCACGACTGATATAGACCGGCTGCGAGCTACGCTCTTGGGGAGAGAGAGAGCGAGAGAGAGAGACAGACAGACAGACGCAGAGACAAGACCACCACATCTTGCAGACCGGGGGGCACATGGGTTCGACGGCCGTGGCTTGCTTGCTGTTGGCACTTGGGGGCCCGGTGGACGACGCGGATCAGTCTCCTCCAGATGGTGAACCCCCAAAAAAGGACAGGGGACCAACGCCCAGGGGGCGGAGGGGTGTTTTTGCTGCAATGTCGACACTCGTAGGGCAGAGCAACAAGCAAAAGCGACGAGAGCGAGCAAGCGGCAGCGGCAGCAGCAACGCCAGAGCGAGAGGCGGTACCGTACCGTACGCCGACCTTGCGGCAGGGGTCAGGGGTGCGTTGAGCGGAAAGGGGGCGTGGTGGGGAGGAGGGTGGTTGCTGGACCTCGACGTGGGTGTGTGGGCGTGAGCCTTGTCCATGGGGGGCGTGTGCGTGGTGGGCGTGGATAGACTGGACGAGAGGCGGCTTCTTCGTCCCTCGTTCTTGTTGCTCCTCCTCCTCTTCGCCTGTCTGCACCATCTCTTCTTGTCCCCTCTGCTCCCGTGGATACCTCATTTAGCGCAAGATACTGTACGCACCCAAACGAACTAGCCTTGCTTGACTTGGCTGAGGGCTCGGCCTGAGGACGCCGGGTAGTAGAGCCACGAAACAGCGTCCATTCCAGGCTCGGGTTTTCGACCTTCGACTGGGACACTTTCAAGAGACTCAGAGAGAGGGGGGCGTGTCCTTCTTCGTTGTCTCTGCCCACCGATGCGGGATGCCAAGATCTGTCTCTGAACTGGTCTCTCATTTCTATCCGTCGTGCTCTCTGAGCCGTCTGCCGCGATGGTGTGCCACAGAGACAGACATTCATTAGCTTTCGAGCGAAAAGGAACCATCCGTCGTCGTTGACAACTTCTGTACGCCGTATGCGTTGATGGAGACCGGTCTTTGGGAACGAGATGGTGACGGCTAGCCATAGTGCGCAGTAGCAATGGGTACTTGATAGATCTGGTACTCAGTACTTCGCTGGCTGAGCTGGTGGCCTCCGACAACCAGGCCTCACACCCACTGCCGCGCAACAGAATGGCAGCCAGCACCCCCTTGGGCCAGTGCTGACTAGGGCCGCCAGACCCTCAGCAGCTTGGGCCTGGTACATCCCTGGAAAACAGAAGTATCGGTAGACAATACTTCTTGCATGTACAGTTGGCCAACGGAGCAGACTGAAGTTGGGTGCAGACCCTGGTATCTGGCTAATCCCCCCTTGAGCGGTCCAGTGCTCTCGGGTCCTGTCCCAGTAGACGCGAGGGGCCTGGCAGGGGCCCCAAATGAGACAGGTAGTGAAGGTGCAGATGCTGTACGAAGCATTCCCAGATAGTAACTTGTCAGGCCCATGGGCCCAGTTGAGAGTCTCCGTCTGCAACTGTAAGTATCTCGCTTCGTAGTCCGGTAGTCTGTTGGAAGCGTACGAAAAAGCAGAACCGTTCCCCCGCCAGTCAAGTGCGGTGCTGGAGGGGCGTCGCTTTCCGCCGCCGCGGGATGCCGTCGGTATGATTTGGATCTATTGACCCGTGTGCTGTGGGAGGTGTTGACGTCGCCGCAACCGGGTTGCAAAGCACTGCACCAAGTACTCCGTAGGGCTCAACCATCCGTTCCCGCTCTGCTGCCGGCCATGCGTCCAGCGTCCCTTGGTTCGTCCTCCATACACAAGGAGATATATTGGATCGCCAGTGTATATGCAGCTCATGTTGCGAGCCTGGACTGCACAATGACAAAAGCATTCGTACGTCTCTCGGTCCATGCAGCGCTTTCTTCTTCCTGTACCACTCGCCCATCAACTCTCACATCGAAAAAAAAACCGTCGCAACTTTCGACCGTACTGTAAATTCAAGGACTTGTAAACAGCAAGCGGTATATGCAAGGTCCTGCATATGCTGACGGACGTAAAGCAACCTGAGGGTTCGAAGAAAAGAAAGTTGACTTGAAAATAGTATGCATGAAGCACGTCCAACAGCTACAGCCCCCTTTCGCCAACCTCAGAGCCAAATGTGGATAGCAATAGCCAAAGTCGTATCTTGAAGCGACAACAACTCGCCAGTGTACGTCAGATGCGTCAGTGACAGCTTGGGCGCTCCGCATGTTGGCCTCAAAATGGCATAACTTGACTCCAAAACGGGGGTTATCGTGGGTGAGGGGGGAGCGGGTTATTGTGGAGGCACTGGCGGGAGGTGCTTCTGCGGTGTACTTTCTCCCACACTCTACGAGTCTGTCTGAATTCGTGCTCTATGTCTGTAGGTCGCGCCGGTACGCATATGGTGTTGCGTTGCTTACTCTAGGTCAGGTGTCGAGGTGGTTGAGGGGCGGGATATTTTTACTCACTGCACACTGCGGGTACTCGTGCTGTGCTGAACAAGCCTCCTTCATCCCAGGCCCAGGGATCTCTCCCATTGCGATTTTGTACATGAGTGTGGGAGTTGCTCCAATGAACGGCGTCGCGCCTCTCTCTCCACGCTTGCAGCCCGTGGCAGCACTTTGGTGTGCAAGCCGGGCCCGCCTTCGACTTGTTGGTGTGCACAGCCCGGCCTTATCCGTCCCTCTAAGTTACTAGTCAAAAGCCTTTAGAGGTTGTACATGACATTGGATGTCCTGCAGTCACCCCATATCGCGCTGTTCCAGGCGGTGCCTAGAGTGTGGGTAGCACTGTTGACTGGATATAGCGACCTCGAACCATACGACGGCGCCCGTGCCTCCTCAAAGGTAATGGGATCATGTACGGCCAGGAGAGAGAATCTGTACCGATCCATGTCTTTGTGACGGCCACTAATGTTGCTGTTCCTCCCGCCCTGCCTTAGGATGGCGATGCGTGTCAGCATCTTGTTCGCGGCATCGTGTCCCAAAACGGGATCCGGGCAGCTCAATCTTGTCAAGCCTCCAAGTTCCAGTGTGCGGTACAGTTTGCATCGTACATGTTCGACTGGCAGAGACAATAAGGTGGGCTGGTGGTTCAAGGTCTTCCTTGGGAACAGCCGTCCGGCCACCGGCCACGACACGCGGCAAAAACATCGAGTTTCGAAGAATCAAGACGGCCCAAATAGAGTTCCACGACCCAAGCGGCGTGACTGAGTCTCTTGTCTGTGATGCCATGCCAATCCGGGCTGGCGGGTTTTTTGGCTGGTCCAAGGGTTCAGACGTTGGAAGGGTTCCAGAGCCGTTCGGTCATAGTCAACGCACGCTAGACGCACCACGTCGCGGCACCGCTCTCTAGAGGCGTATTCCATCCAGTCGTTGGCCAGAATTCGAAATGGTCCAGCCCGAGACTTGATCTTGGTGCAACCGGCCCCTTGGGAAATGTATGTGCGGCAGGTGGAGACCAAAGTTCTGGTGGTTAGATGCTTCTTTTCGTCCTCAGTCCTCATGCTACCAAGCACCGGCCACAATGAGACAAAAGACTAGTGCCGACCTCTGGAAGATTCACGTTGTTGTCCTTCAACACCTCGTCTCCATTGTGGCAGGCAAGCCAGTGCTCCTAGATAGCCTTTCTGGGTTTGTTGCTTTGGCGTTGCCTCGCGACGACTTGCCACGGCGGTCTCAAGCCTCTGCACAGCGTATGACACGTCGAACTCCTGGATAACTATGTGCGTCGCATCGGGTTGGTGAATTTGAGACGTGAAGCCGGACCATTGGAACATCATCGTCTGCTGGCGTACCAAACAATGCCTTATTGCTAGCGCGCAGGACTGTGATGGAAATTGAAGTAATTCACTAGTCTGCGTGGGATTACGGCCGTTGCCGCACGGGCTGAGCAAGGCCAATCTCACGCTCTCCTACTCTTGTAGAGGTCGCCAAGTCTCGACGATGTTGCTTCTTGAGTTGTCGCTAATGCCCTAGAGAGTGACATTGACCAAAGCATAGTTCGCAATATCAGTCGCATTCAGACGTACACGCATAGGGTGGTTTCGCTTGGCGAGATCGATGCGCTACTGACCAAACCATTCCGCATCATGGGTCACCAGCCGGGGCAGCTCACACGAGGCACCCATGGAAGCCATGGGGAACTCGAGTTGTCTCCGCACCGCGAAAAAAATCGTAGAGAGCCAACGTGGGATAACATTGTCCATCGAGACATGTCGCCCGATCAGGTGTAGCGGTGGCTCATCTGGCCGAGACCCTGGTCGAGAGCCTCTGATTGGTGCTTTTACGGCTCCCACTATCCTTGCCGTGGAGATAGTCAAAATCTTTAAAAAGAAATCCAGGAGGCGGTGCAACCTTGTCGTCGTTCACCA